CAGTCGTGCAACTTGAATGAACAGGTTAGTAGAGAAAATGCGTGCAGTCCATATTGAGAAGGACTGATGGTACAAGAAACTTGGGGCAGCAACATATATGGGTGACATCGGGTCACACTAACACGACTAGCAAAATGAAAGGAAAACGAAAGGAGTGCTGCGAGAAGTACATGAAAACTTGAAACATATGCAGGTGAGAGTCAGTGATGTGGTACTCGGATACTTGGCGTGAAAATGTATGCAGGTGAGACAGTTAGCGTTTGAAAATCATTATACTGAAATGGGCATTCGAGCGTTTAAAGTATCTGTGCAGCTCCAAAAAACATATGGAGGCAGCGATCCAACACAGTTGATGCATTGGGATCATCAGATGGGTGTTGTTGCAGATACGAATGAGTGGCTGTTGATGAGACGTCCAACTTGTAAGACAAGTGTGCGGGAGTGGTGGAATGATGTCCTGGTGGATCTGTAGGACCGGAGCCACAGGTTAGATCAGCAGCTGTCGAAAGAAATACGTTACATTATATTGACCGCCAAAGGTGGCACTATCAGGGATGGATTGCACTAGATTAATCTAGACATCAATCATTAAGTACAGTCTGCAGGGATGGGTGCCGTGTGTATCACCTTGAAAATACGAAGTGTGGTTGGTGGCAGAAGATTGATTCCACTCAAGACCTTGACAAAACGTCGAGCACGATAGTTGGGATCAGCAGCTGCATCATCGTGAATGATGAATGCAGCCAATGATGGGTCCGTTGGACGACCACTACCCCGGAGATAGCGATGGAAGGCATCCTCGAATGAACGCAACAGCGGAGACATTTGTGCCCGAAAGTTTCCATCGCCATCAAGTTCAAATCGCAAGAGTGGGATCAGTGATTCAGCTGTGACACGTCGGTTGAATATGGCTTGAAACAATGTCTTAGACATTGGAGCCAATGCCTAAAGGTCGGATCAATGTCAAGCGCCTGTGCCGGGGATAATAGTGATTCTCACATGACATAGAGATGGCAATGACAACGTCAGAAACTTATCAAAGCCGTTCTTGAATGCATGGAATTCACGAGAGTTGGTTAACTTTTCAGCTGGATGTCCGAGCAGTGCACCACAGAAGAAATCACGCCTGATCTGGGGCCATTGGTCTTCAGAGGCTTGCATAATCTCGTTGTACTGAAGGTGTTCAGTGTGAAAATGGCAGCTATGATATTAGGACTACTTACTGATGAATCCATACGTGCATGAAAGATACGCATCAGTTTGACACGATCCTCGGGTTGGTGAGACATTGATCCATACTCCACGGGCACATCACCAAAAGTCCAGAAAACCGGTATTGCCTTATTAGGCTGACGGTCACGAGGTTTACTGGATCATGGGTGATGGCTGCTGAGACGATGACGCCAGCGCTTGATCATTATGACGTCGAGTAGTTCGTAGCTTACCGTTGTTCCCGTGTATGCTACACAAATGATATGCTTTTGTCATTATGATAACATCCTGATATACTTCTGTAAGTTTGATCCTCCCTGATATTCTCTGCGAATCAGCGATGCATACAGTCCAGACTCCACTTTGAATGCCCGGTTAACAGAAGAGGCTTCAAGTTGTCACGGTCGAGTCCATCATGGACTCCTGTTCTTTTACCGCTACGGCTTCGATGTCCATGCCAGACGTACCCAAGCAAACTCCAGACTACCTCACGATGTGGACTCAGCCAACTTCCAAGCACGCCTCCCCGTCGATTGGGTCTCACAATAAGTGTTGTATGCGCAATACAACAAAACAGGTCAGTTGAAACCATATCGGTGCCAAATGTGTGAATCCGTATCACTGCTCTTCTGTGCACGCTCGATTTTCTTAAGTCCTTTATTTGGTACCCTTTGCCACTTGGCCACTTTTGCGCTGTTGGGGTTGGGCTCGCTCTTCAACCGGTACTAGTACCCACTGCTCTTCCCACCACCACCACCACCACCACTCTTGCGGCTATTGGTCATAGTTTATGACCTGAATTTCTGTTCAAGGTAACACTGTCCACCCCTTCTCGTACAGTGTACTTACTATCTCTCCACACAGTGTATCTGCATTTAATACCTAAAGGTGAGTATATGCGCATTGCCTCTATTCCAACGCCTCACTGCAGCCTCAGTGATGTCACCCGACACGGCTTATGTGACACAGCATGGTGAGAAATCATTTGGTCTTGTATTATATGATCTCTAATTCATTATCAAGTCTTCGCTGGTGCACCACTTGCTATCAATTGTCTACCTCGTGATACTGCTACCCAGTATATGAAACACCAATCATCCACATGCCTGATAATGTGCGTATTGTTTAGTGAGGAGCCAGGCTATTGAAAACCCACCCAGCACCCGGGAGAGATGCAACTCGGTGGAGTGCAACAAGTCGTCATCACTGGTATGTGATATCTATCTCCGCTCGGCTGATATCGATGATTCACCCCAAGCCATACTGGTCATGACGTTCGTCGTTACAGGCTCATCGCTAGGTGCTATCATCCATCCGATCATGCTCAATAACCTCCTCAACAGTCCTCTTGGTTTTTCCAACGGCATCCGTATAAGCGCAGGGTTGATCAGCTTATTTCTCTTAACTGCGTGTTTGTGCATGTGAACTCACCTTGATCTGCCGGCAATACCGGTGAACTATATCGTGGCGGCTAGAAGATGTATTCACGATGTACCGTTTGTGCTCCTAATAATAGGGTGAGACCTGCAACGTACATTCCTGACTTTCTCCAAATAACCATTCTGCAGAGGCTTTCTTTTCCAGATCGGGTTCTACTACCCGTTATTCTTCTTTCAACTAGACTCTATCCAGCACGGTATCAGTGTTCATTTTTCGTTTTACTCTGTGAGTTCCAGCAATACACGAGTCATCTGCGGCGTCTGCTGACAGAGTCTCTAGTTAGTGATATTAAATGGATCCAATTGCTTAGGGCGATTCACGTCAGGGTTTATTGCGAGGTTCACGTGACAGCTGCAACGTGCAGGTTACATGCAGCGATATGAAAGTGTTAGCACTGATGACGGACGCCGGACATCGTCTTCTCGCACGATACCGCAGGATGCAGAACAGCGGGGATCTCGAACAATCCATAAAGCACTTTGAACGGGCCTCGGATCTCTGTCCCATGGATCATCCCTACCGCCCTGCAGCGCTGTTCAATCTAGCCGTGGCAAAGTCTGTTAGTTGCCAAGCGGACGGAAGATACTTCGACCTCGACATCCCCATCTCTCTTTTTCAAGGGGCCCTCAACTTGCACCCCACTGATCATCCAGACCGAAGTGTCACATAGCTCTATCTTGCCATCGCTTTGCTCTCGTGGTTCGCGAAACGGAGATTTCAAATGGATGTTGATACAGCTAAAGAATTGCTGAGCGACGTAGCCGATGTCATATAGTATGTACTACCATACCACTGCAATAAGCCACTATAAGGTGCTGGAAATTGTTCAGGCCTGCTCAGCAGCCATCATATGTCAGTCATGATGCATGACCCATCAGCTGATGGTTAAATGAGCAAAAATTCAGTTTCATGATCTTACCATCTCGGATGACCTGGGGCTGGGCTGGGCTGATGGGCCATGGTGGCTATGGTGAAGCTGATACCGGATGATAAGACCTGAGCATACCTTATCTAGGTTTGGGACTTTTGGTGATGCAGTAGAGAGAGTGTTGGGCTAAGGGATTGATAGAAATGCCGAATCCAGGGAAGGTCCACAATGGAATCAACACCATTTATAATGCACTCGAGCAGTGCAGGTGAGATTGGATCAGGTCCATTGCCAACTTTCAGCATATAGATGGCAGCCAGCTGTCCAAGGGCGAACACTACATCGAGCTTGTCCTCAGAGGGAAAGCGTGAAATCTTGAGGGACACATATCCATCATCCAGCGTCTCACAAGTATCACCATCAGCATCTGCCAGGATCCGATCACCACTGTGGTCACCGGCAGGCTTCCATGATATACAATGCGCAAGGGCAATCTCAAGGACCTGGCGCAAGACCCCATCGCCAATGCTATCTGTAGCATCCCCATGTCCGCTAGTGGAGGAACAAGTGTTGGTCAGCCAGTGTATTTATGAACTGTCAGAGTTAACGTACGCCCGCACTTGCCAGATCATTGAAAATGTGTTGAGCCGATCTTCAGGCACATCAGGATGGATGAGAAATGTTGACGCATTACTGGGTGCCTTATATGGATGTGGGTCATCAGCGTGCAGGCGTTGGTGCTTAAGCCACCCCACCAGTCCAGTGGCAGCGTGGATAAGGGACTCTGCTTCAATCTGCAGTACGATGTTGGAATGGTCCATATTGGCCGATGCATTGATGCTGTTACAAAGATCATCAATTGATGTGAACAAGATAGTGCCTGATGGGACAGTTGGTGATCCAGGGTCGTGATGTGCCTGTGCATGCCTACGGGTTTCCTGTCTAAGGCTGCGGCGAACAATACTGACCGTGCTGCCAGTATTATCAGAAGATGGTAGGCCATCCGGAACAGTGTCCACCAGAGAAGCTGCAGCAGGTTGCGACTGATTAGGTGGTAGGGTGATAGAATCATGTGATGATGAAGGCTGAGGGTAGGCACGTACAGGTGACCGTGGACGAGGAATTTGGACCAAAGGACGCAGGTCAATAAGTCTTTCCTGAACTGCTGGGCGAGATTGTGATTCACGATGAAACAGAATACTGGTGTTACCAGCAGATGCATGTCCAGGGGATGCTGACCGATCACGATTGTGATAGCGTGGCACTGGGTTCGACGCTGACACATTGTTGCTGGTGGATGAGGCAGAAGATGGTGTACTGATAGCCGATGCACTTGTGGCAGGTGTCGATGGGATGGACCGAGTACAGATGGCGGGTGATGGTGCTGGAGTGCGAGCCTCTAGTTCAAGTGGGTCAACTGAATCTTCTGGTGGACAGGCAGAATTGCACGGCACAGTTGTGAAGCGATCAGGGATGTCAGGAGGGTCTTCATAACCTTGAATAAGATGGGCAATAATGCGGTTGGCAAAGCAGTGGTGCTGGTATGGAGACCCTTTGATCAATGGACCGATGACATCCCCACCTTTCAGGCCTGTAAGCAATTGGGTTAGTAAATGATGCTGAGCCAAGTCATGCCAACGTACAAAGGTATACAAGCGATAGACTGGAATCTTCGGGGCTCTTAATGCGCTCACACCTCTTGAAGAACTTGCCAGCTTCTAATGTTTGCCAACAGAAACTGGAATCTACCTTGAGATGTCTCCGTCCCTGAGTCGCATTGGAATTGCCTGGCTGCAAGAATCTGAAGGGCAGTCCATGGAACTGCAGTCGCACTTCGCGATTGGGGGCATCAGTGGCTAATAAAAGAGGTTCAGGCTCCCATGTTGGAAATTTTAGCCCGCCATCATGAGCCATCTGCGTCACCGCATGGAGAATCTGATTCATGACAGAATCAGCATCACGTTGTCCAGTAAGAGTGACAGCCCGTGTGAGTCCTCGCTCGGTGAGAAACTGCAGATCAGAGGCCAGTTCTTCCCCACTCCGCAAACGTCAAACCTGACTGTGTTCATCATATTGAGATGTGTAATCCAGCATGCGCTGCACATAAGATTAGAGTGAGTATAAAATCAGTTGCACATATCACTTACGTCTCGAGGTATGAGAATTAACTGGATACATAGGGTACACATGGGAGCACTAATGACAATTCCACGGCCACGGCCACGAGTGCGTCCTCGTAAACCATTAGTAGTCATAGAAACACCTGACATGGGCACTCCAAAGGTGGTATGACCACGGGTGACCTGCAGCTGGGAAGCTTGATGGGCAGGTGTGTATCCAGTGACCAACGAAGGTCCAGAAATCGCAGGAGACTGGTACAGTGGAATCGAGTGTGCTGGGAGATCAGAAAAGAAATTATGGTTTGTAGACGGTAGAGTGGAACTGTTGGGCGGCAAAATGGTGGAAGGAACACGATATGGCTGATTTTGGATAGCAAGTGAACTGGGTGGTGGCCGAACCAGTGTGCTGGATTGGGGGGGTGCCACAGATCCTATTTGCGCATGCTCGCTGTAACGCTGACCACATGTACATAGTTGAAAATAGTCTTCAATCTAAAGATTAAACGCATAAGTAGATGATGAAAAGCTTGCACTGTGATGCATACCTGGATGTTACCAACACTTCGAAATTCAGAGCATGGACCTATCCCTCCTCTGGGTGGGAATGAAGGACGGCGCATAGGTTCTGCTGGGGGCGGACTTTGGTCATGAGATGTTGAAGAATGACCGCAATAGCACTGATTGTAGTGAGGCTTGACTTGGAATGTTATACCGAAAAAAAACATACTCTAGATGGATCTGCAGGCTGGGGGAAGAATGACGAACAGCCAGGGGAAAGACACTGATTACACCGGTGATGGGCTGACATGGTTTTACTGACAAACAAGAGGGAAGATTGAATACAATGCTGCGGTGAAAATTATAAATCTATGCGCACCGGAAAGCAGCAATTAGTAGACTGGAATTACAATCTTGATTATGGTTTCAGTTCTGATGAGAGACAGTGGATTAGATGTGTAACAGTGAAAATTACAGATAAACACGCACCAGAAGACAGAGAATTGGGAGAAATTAGCAGAAGATTATTGAATGAAAGAAAGCTGGTGCCCGCCAGTTTCTAGTGCCAGTGAGTGATCAGAAGGGTTGGTACCTGATCGGGAGACATGCCGGAGAATTAACATGTGGTGGAAGCAAGCAGAGAAGATGAGAAGCAAGTGAACCATATGGTACAAAAGTGTACGAGATGGCAACGCCTCTTGGAGGCGAACCAAATTCCTAATACGAGTCTACTCATCAACCATAACCCATCATGAGGATCCTGGTCTTCATCATAGATGCCATGATGAAACATCTGCCCGTTTGGCTCACTAACTTCGCAAGGTCTCACAGGCATCTTGCGCACCTAGTTGTTCTGAAAGACTTTGCTAACATACAAAAACCAGTTTTTGATGGCGCTGGGTATGATACAGATTAAAGCGAGGCATAATAATGTGATATATATTACCATACAAGTGCTTGCCTACGATCGAAGCAGAAGCACGAGCGAAGACCACCATTTTCGATATACCAGTTGGCTATTGTATGGGCAACAGCCGATTTACCCTTGCCTGCTGTGCCAGACAACCATAGAACGTGTGGAGCGCCCTCCTCAGTGCTGCTGATCCCATTCTGACACTCACGAAATGCGAATGGTGGGCAATGGGTATGATGACTTTGGCACACGAAGTATGGATCTAGGAACCCGTCAAGTGAGTGCAGGAAGTCAGAGCAAGGATAGCAGTAGTCAGTAGATAAATGACAGCAATATAAAACGACGCACTTCTTTGTCGCTGATCATACAACATCGTGTTTGTCTAACAGCGTCTCTAGATGCCTGACATCTTTCTTCCTTATAGCCGTCCATCATTGCCATCTCCCTCGGTGAAAATGGAGGTTTCCAGTCGCCGTCTGCGCAAAATGCTCAGGAGTGATGGCAGGATCTAAATGACATCAGCAACGAAAGCTACTCTAGACAAGAGGCTTACCATTCAGATTCCATACAAGAAGAGGGGGTCACAATGCCTCGCCAGTCTCGATATCCCACACCTGGATCGTTCCATCATCTAAACCACATGCAATCTGTTTTCCGTCTGGCGACAATGCAACCGAGTTAACCTCGTCATTCCCTTCCTTCCGCCTGCGAGACGGGTGCTGATTGTTTTGATGACTGCATCGCTTTTCCTAGTGTGTTTGTCCTCGAAGATCGGCAGGAGCATAGACTAGACATAGTAATGAACAACTCGCACCATGCATAAGATAGTGAAACAAAGCGACGTACTCCGTGTTCCTTGATCAACTTCTCGAAAGATTTCTTCTCGTGCCTCAGTCCAGCAAGATACTTGTGCTCCTCGCAACAGAGTTGGTAGACCATGAAATATACATGGACGCCCATACCAGGGTTAGAGTTTCTGTACACCTATCAAGTCAGCATAGAGAACGACGCGACCGCGAGAGACAACGCACATGATAACCGTATCTGCAGTCTGCAAGTTATTCACGGTTATTCACGCACCACCACGAAGTCCCCGTACATAAAATGAATGGGTGAACTCAATGAGAGGGCGCAGGAGTTGAGGGTGGTGGCAAAATGGTCAGCAGCTTCTTCGTGATGTGCACCATCCAAGGCCTTGATTCCAAGTTGAACACGTAGATATGCCTGATGCACGAGTTGCAAAGATTAGTTCGAGAACCATCAAAGTCTGTTGGACGAAACACATGGTATCCCTGGTAGCGTGACTAACATGCATGAACTCAGCGTGACCCTACGACCACCCCGCTACTCGTAAGATTTCATTGGGAAAATAATAAGCTTGAGTTACGCACTGAAAACCATTTTTCGATGGATGAGAGGGTCACTACAGAGCCGCCGAGGGTTTTCGTCAGGGCCAGTGCTTCCAACCACCAAAGGAGGTGCTCTCCATCGAAGAAAGCTTCAACTTCCTTAGCGAGTAACGATTCGAAGGACATAGTGCTGACATGAGTTCCCCAGAATCGACATGAGTATGATAGCTCAGCCGGAATGGATTCTTTGACTCGTTTCTCCAAATCAGGGACAGAAGAGTTAGGCAAGTACGAATTCTTCAAGGAGCAGATGATGAAGCGAAGTCCGCGCTTCATGACCAGAAGCGAGGTAAAGGCAAGGTTGCTCTGTGCCGAAGACACATCGACGAAGAAGTCATGACTGCGCAGCCAAGTCACATGCAATTGTGGTGAATATCTTCTGGTGGAGTCGATCTGCTCCCCATGTACGGTCGAAGCAGAAGCATGCTCCCAGACCCCCAAACTCGTTAGACTAGTTGGCTATTGTATGGGCGATGGCTGATTTTCCTCCCCCTGCCATGCCAGACAACCATAAGACATGTGGCACGTCCTTCTCAGTACTGCTGATCCAAGACTTGATCTCCGTCAAAAGCTCGTTCCGAGTATCTGGCAGACAACACTTGAAGGTATTCAGTCCAGCACCAGCTGCATACTCCATGTCCCTGAGGTCCCGATCCTCGGCTAGGTCACGGATCGTGGAACGTCAGAGGTTTGACGGTGAGTGTGAGGCTGATCCTTACCTAAACCTGCCAGGATGATCGCGGCATTGCCAATCACTTGGTCTCGGAATTGCTGCATGAGGTTGTTGAGACCGTCACTGTGACTGCGAATCTCGGCATCCGTGTCCCTGAAGATGTGCTTGCCAAGTCATTTCCCTGAACAAAGAGAAACAAGATCACACTAAGTGCCAGGCAATGACGCAGTGGTATGAACTCACCGAAACTCTTCATCTCCGAGTAATGGATGATGAATTCCGTGCACTCCAAAGGTAGCGACATTTGTAACGTCTTCGTCCTTGACATGGTTCAAACAGCTCGAAGCACCGAGGCAGAGTAAGGCGCGTGTTGACTGCGCAGCACTTCCATAAAAATATTGGGAAGGTTACTATCCAGGGCCTTTGACTTTGGCGAGAAGGGTAACTGAATTGTACTTGCTGGTAAAGATGAGGCGACGTATCATGACGCGCGCGGCTCCCAGGAGCTTGTACATCTCACAGTACTAGTATACAACTTGCTACACCCGAACCATTGGCGTCCGTGCTAGCTTCCAAGCCGCACTGTATGTATCGCCTCCAGTTTGGAGCTGAACAAGTTGTACATTCATACATGGACATATGTAGCTGGTACTAAGTCATGAGGTTACATTTCAACGGCCGGTTGTGACAGCCACAGAGACAGTCTCCAAAAAAAGGTCAGAATGCAAGGAATACAAGGACTGGAGGACACTTACCGAAACATATGCGATGCCCTTGTATCCCAGGGCAGAATCAAAGGAGCGAAGCTCTGAAGAATGGTCAAAGCGGAAAGGACAGCCAAAGTGAAAGACACATACCAGATTGAATGAAAGCAGATAGGTAGAAAATGACATGTGTGCAGATGTTCAGAACGACAAATTCACAAGCAAGAAGACATCATTCGGTGATGGAGGCATGCGAGCTCCACCTATTTACACCGTTCGCCACCCGGCTACACCAAAGGCAGTTACTAAGTGAGGAGGGTAGAGCTACAAGCACTGTCTGACATACTCGAAGTCTGGAACCAAGAAAAGAAGCTAATTACAGAAGGTGAGAGATCGGAATCGTATGGTGGACGAATCCCACTTATTTGGAAAGCAGTGGTGCAGCATTTTCACGATGCCCATCACACTTGTGACCTTGGCATTACTACAACGGTCTGCAACCTACAACCCATTTTCATCGCTTCAAGTCCTTGAGGACGAGCGCTTGAGCTGTGGTGCGAATCGGGATCTGTGTGAGATCTCCGTGCTTGGCTGCCAGATCTGTGTGAGATCTGGTGTGCCCACAGTTCATCGCCCTTCAAGGCGTGTTCCTCTCATCAATATCAATATCCACGAGGACATGACACATGTTAAGGAAACCTTGAAATCGATCAGCAAAGGAAAAATTTCGCATGAAAGCCCAGAGGAATGGTATACACTTTTTGGAGTAAAGTCACTGGCAGCTCAATTGTCTTGCCTGACCGAAATCAATGATCTTTCGCAAACAGGGTCTCATGCATTAGTGGTTCCGCACTTATTTTACTTCGCCTTCATCTCAAGTCCATAGGTACACCTTCGTCATCGAATCCGTCTCGAGGAGACACGAAAATATTACTCATGTAAGTCCAGTCACTCTCGTATTTACGAACTCTGACGAAATTATTGATAACAGCCCATATATTAATCTCTGGCCAAGGAGCATTGTTCATCTGGTTACGCTTGACATCGACTCAAATTCTTGTCGATCATTCGCTCTCGACACCACTCGCAGGGCTACGGAGTTTACCTCTAAAGAGAAGGGCGGATGAGGAGGAGTTTTTCAGTCCGAGAACGCCACTGCACATAACTGTCTCATTGATTGTCACGCCGACGTGTGGACTCGTTGTAGAGACTCGTGCATCTCATAGTGTGATATGGCGCTTTACACTAGCCGTTCAGCGGGAGACGATCATGTCGTCCAGTAACAGATGTCCGTGAACATTGGTGTTCATTACAAATCGGGATCATCATATGTTCTCACCACACTTCCACGACCTTATTTACAACTTTGAAAGGACGTCAAAGAAGCCAATGGGAACCATCCTAAAATCAATGACCATCTCTGCCACTACATTTTCCGATTTTTCCAATAGCCTCCTTAGAGCTGCTGACTGGAGCATGTCGAAGTTCAGAGCCGGGGAATGGTTGGTGGACATCCTCTGCCTCATTCCAATTCACATCGCAGTGACGAGAGAGAATCGTTTCATTCCACTCAAGGATGGTGTATATTCAACCGAACTTGAGAAGTCCCTCCTCGGTGCAGATGTTAACCGTATTGTCAATCACCTGTCTTTTGGTTGGTATGAGTCTTTGTTCCAGTCATACATGGCGAAAAAAGTATGATACATGAACGCCTCGGGTCGAGCGATACTGACTTTATCCGGTGCCATCTTCTTCAAGCCGGTCAAAGTTGTGTCGTCTATGGGCGAACAATTGGTGGGGAAGAGCTTTTCCTTGAACCACCTTGTGGATACGTCATTCGCGGGATCGGCGATGCATATGACAGAAGAGGTTTGGATGTCAGTAACTCCGACTAAAGATGCTCTTATTGTTGCTTTGGATTTTGAAGGTATGTCGAATTAAACCATCATTGGATGTTTCACATTGATATCTTTCTTTGATAGGTGTTCATAGTATTGAGCGTTCTGCTCAAGAAGATATATTGCTCGCGCTATTCAATACTGCGATCTCTAACTTGGTTTGCTGCCTGCTGTATGTTTCTCATGGTTGCCTGATGTCGTTTACATAGGTGCTATTCTGGAGCAACTTCGCCCTGAGCCGAGACATCGCAAGCTTATGCCAGTCGTTCCAATCAAGCTCGATCATCCTCGACCCAGCATCTAACCCGAGTCTATTTCAATCAACGTTAGTGATCATAATTAAAGTCCTTTCCCATCTCTTGAAATTTGTTTTTTTATGTGTTTTGACATATCGACTTCTAGGATGTCGTGGATTCGGACAACGCAGAAATCACTAGAGAGTACGCTCCAGTCAGTGTCCCCATGAATGCATACTCAAATTGTCACCCTGGACCCAGGTTCACCCTCAAGTTTCAGACCACATCCTCAGCGGAGGCGGCGATATGATGATCTCAGAGTGGGCAGTACCTCAGGGTACTCATCCAAAGGCATGTTTCCATCCCTGACTCATATACCACAAATTGAGCATGCTTCTTGCAGACTATCGCTATTACAATGGCCCGCGATGCATACATAGATGGAGACTTATCTACTGACGAAGAACTGCCACGTCGTGTCGTGCAAGTAAGTATCATCTATGCTTGGTCGTCAACACTCATCTTTACAACTCACACATCAGGGATATCTACACGTTCAACTCGGAATCAAAGCCTTGGGTGGCGCATGTCATGAAGAAGCCGCCGACCATTTCACTGCGGCTCTCGACAACATGTAGCGCATTCGATCTCGCGTGGAAGGTCATCGTGGTACGTCATACAATACAACTAACTCTCATTCTCGTTCTTCTCCTTGTCTTCCCTTCTCCTGATATCGTCCATCGTCCGTATTCGTCTGAGGCACGTCAGCAGTTGCTGGCGTGTGCTGGGCATTTGCGCATTGGTGTTCGTGGTCTTGGGAACGGCATGGTGGAGCTCGGACATTGATTCGGTTATGCAGATCTTGCTTGTATTTGTTATCCTCAGAGACCGTCAGACTGGCGCAGACAATTGTAAATTTTGCAGCATAAATTTTATAACTATGTCTCCCATATAGAGAAGTCCCGCGAGCTTCACGCTATTGAATATCAAGTTGGACAATTGCTATACTGGTCGTGCAGCCTATCTTAGCACCCACCACGTTCCAACCCTAACGTCTGAAAGGTGGTCTCTATCTCTGACTGTGCTATTCTCATGAGTGACGACAGTGTTGACCTCACTCACCTCCCTCTTCCATTACAGAACATTATCTGTTCTTTCAACCAATTGAAAGATGATGTCCGTGTTGCCCTTCTTACTCAGCTGGGTGATGCTGCTCGCCTTCAGCTACATGTTCAAGCGTGCCAACAGTTGAGAGCTGATATAACACAGGTAAGTCACCCCAATATCAGCTTCCTGCCTATCTTATAATGATGTCAGCATCGTGCGATTGTACCAGAAGTCACATTGGCTACTATGGAGTCCAGTCTGGATTTAATGGTAGCCGATCTTGACGAAGCAAAGGGCCGATCAGCGGATTACCCTGATGCCCCACCTATAGAAGCTGTTACTACCATCCAGAACCGATCTCGTGGACGCCCTCGCATTGAAATCAACCCTGACATTCTAGAGACAGCCTTGCAATTTGCTGGACCCACACGTCTTGCAGGTGTTTTTGGTGTATCCTCACGCACTGTTCGACGCCGGGCGCTAGAGAATGAGCTTGTAGAACCAGGACACCCAGTATATATTGAATTCACTGACGAAGGTGGTGTCACATGTAGATACTATACATCCTCCACCGGAGCTCAATCAGTACTCTCTGATGATGAGCTGGATAGCGCCATGTTGCAAATTCTCACCCATTACCCACGTCTAGGCCGCCGCATGATTGATGGCCAACTTCGTTACATGGGAGTCAGTGTACCTCGCTCTCATATTCAAGCATCATATTCCCGGGTCCATGGCCCTCCTGTGGCTGCATTTGGTGTGCGCCGTATCACTCGGCGAGTATACAATGTCAAGGGTTATAATTCCCTGACTCATCATGATGGCCAGCATGGCAAGTACTACTTTATTCACCTCTTGTTCTTGATACATTTTACACAATTGACAGGCCTTATTCGGTGGAAGATTATAATCCATGGATTCATTGACGGCTACTCACGATACATCACTGGACTTCGTGCACACAACAATAATCGTGCGCAAACTGTCTTGGAACTTTTTCAAGAGATTGTTCAGACCCACGGCCTTCCTAGTCGTGTTCGTGGAGACCATGGAGTCGAAAATGTAGAAGTTGCTAGATTTATGGAGGCTTCACGAGGGCCTGGACGAGGATCATATATATGGGGGCGGTATGCTTGCTCTTTTTAGAACACTTGTCTGAGCGCTCCTAATGCACCCCTTAGAAGTGTCCATAATATACGTATCGAGCGCCTATGGGTGGATTTGACCAACGGAATCGGCTCCAAGTGGAAACTTTTTCTTCAAGATCTGGAAGTCAGCAGTGGGCTCAATGTCGACAATGCGCACCATATATGGCTGCTTCATCATTTATTCCTTGATGTCCTGGGACGCGAGATTCATGGCTGGGCTGAGGCATGGAACCATCATAGGATGAGTACCTATGACCATGGCATGTCAAGCCCCCACGAAATGTGTTTCCTCAGTATGCTGCAGCATGGTGCGCGTGGATTTGAGGTGGCACCTACATTTCATCCTCCAGAGGACACCCTTCAAAGTGACGAAGCTGTTGCTGAGTATGGGATCGATTGGGATGGTGTAGACAACCATGGTATTCGCTCACATCATGACATGGTCAACCAACCAGACCCTCTTGGCAACAACCCCTTTGTGGCCTACGTTCCAGAGACCCTCAATCTTATTGAAGTGGACGAGCCCAACTGTCCATTGTCTCCTGAACAACTCACTCACCTACATGCTCACTTGGCACAGTTTACGGATGACGGGACCATTCACAGCAGGAGGCATTTTTGGGAGCAAGCTTTGGCGATGTGCATTCAGTTAATGTCTTCGACAGAGTAACTACATTTGTCTAACACAACATGATTTTGAAGGTCTCGATGGCTTTGTCGTAACGTTGCGACGAAGGATTGAGTTCAGTAGCCTATGTTATGCATTGCCAAAGTCAACATGGGCCACGAAATCATAGATGTCATCGTACCTTTTGCGCGTTGAGAAGCACCTCCTCCCACAGCATTTCCCATGCTACTACGAATCAGGTGCAATGATGGGTGCGCCGTATCGTCAGCGTTGATGTTCACGGTGAATCCTTGGCCGTTCTTCACGTTCGTGACCGTGTCTTCAAGGCAGCCCGCCGCAGGATTGTGGTTGATTGCAAATGAGATGACAGGCGGGTAGTTCATGACCTATCGCAAGAGGTTATTGAACCATTATGTAAAGAGACATCTCCAAAATTGTTTGCAAGCCTGGGGGGTCGGTGAGGCGGAAAATTCCAAAGCTAACCGTGAAAAGAATTAAGACACAAGCGGTATAAGCAATGTGGTACTCACGGCTTCAAGCTTGTTGGAGTCGTACCGCGGTTCCTATATGGTCAGGTCTATAGATGTATAAATTCAAGATTCGAGGACGCTGACCTTGTTACTGGCACCACACTGTCATTCAGAAGGAACCGGATATGAGTTGGCTCCTCTGAGGCTGGGCAGCTGAGCACCTGTGCTACAAGCTGGCTGGCAAAAGGTGCGATCTGGCTAGAAACGTAAAACTGACGTGACGACTCGTCAGAAATAGTGACACACATACGCATTTCTCCTTTGTCAGACCGCTGAGAGCCCACTCGTCGAAGTCGGGAGGAGCGTCTACGGCAGTTGCATTTGCATTCTCGACGAATGCCTCGCTGATGATGTTCACGGTGAATCCTTGGCCGTTCTTCAGGTTCGCGGTCGTGTCTTTGAGGCTGCCCGTAGCATTGTGGTTGATGTCGAGGGAGTAAGATAATGTTACGAATGACGCAAGTGAGCAGAATGCAGGTACGGGTGGTAGACAGTGTGCTCGTGTCATCGCATAGGGTGCAGCAGCAAGGTCATCAGTCAAAACTTAAAAGCAGTCAAACCATAATTGTAAATAAATAATTACTATTCAAGGAAAGTACGCACCCGCCTATGTGACGCGTGACCCGACGCGCGGCGCTGCGTGGCTCATCGTCAACGACAATGAGGACAACAGTAGGACTCTACTGAAGGTACCATGTGGACGACTTTTGTGTCAAGAAGAGAGTTCTGAGAAACCACGTGGAAGACTTTTGAGAATGAATTAGAGTTTTGAGGACCACATGGATGACTTTTGGTTATCATCCAGAGACGAGCTCACGCCCGTTGTGCCTTCGGCACAAATCGAAGGAGCGCTACGCGCTCCTTCAGGGGAGAAAAATGAGTGTTGTTCCTTCGTCACAGGAAGCCAAGGAGGGCTACGCCCTCCTTTGGCTTCCTGGCCTCAGGCTGCATCCTAATAAATTGTGCATTTTGAATGATTTTGAAATATATTTATGAGCAGCTTTTCAAAAAAACTCAAAGTACAATCTATCACACCACCTAAAAGTACATAGTACTACATACAATCAGTCAGTGCTATGTTCTTTGAGCAGGATTTTGACCAATATAAAAATACAAAATATGTAACAGTATCATTGAATGTATTTGTTTTCCCATTTTTCCCTGCTTCCCATCTAGGGATCAGCAGGGGTATGGGAAACCCTTGAGGATAGGGGTAGGGGTTTGGATCTGAAGACCCCTGTACCCCTGGGAATATACCTCCAAATTGATTACCATAGGAGTGATGGATCAGTATAAAATTTTGAAGTTGTACATGTGCCTTCAAATGGTAATATATGTGATTGGAAAAAATGTTACCATGGGGTATACCCATGCTAATCCCTACTCCCTACTCCCTACTCCCTGCTTCCTACTCCTGTCTCCTGTCTCCTGTCTCCTGTCTCCCATCTCCCGTCTCCCGTCTCCCGTCTCCCGTCTCCCGTCTCCCTACTCCCTGCTTCCTACTCCTGTCTCCTGTCTCCTGTCTCCTGTCTCCCATCTCCCGTCTCCCGTCTCCCGTCTCCCGTCTCCCGTCTCCCGTCTCCCGTCTCCCGTCTCCCGTCTCCCGTCTCCCGTCTCCCGTCTCCCGTCTCCCGTCTCCCGTCTCCCGTCTCCCGTCTCCCGTCTCCCGTCTCCCGTCTCCCGTCTCCCGTCTCCCGTCTCCCGTCTCCCTACTCCCTGCTTCCTACTCCTGTCTCCCATCTCCCGTCTCCCGTCTCCCGTCTCCCGTCTCCCGTCTCCCGTCTCCCGTCTCCCGTCTCCCGTCTCCCGTCTCCCGTCTCCCGTCTCCCGTCTCCCGTCTCCCTACTCCCTGCTTCCTACTCCTGTCTCCTGTCTCCCGTCTCCTGTCTCCCATCTCCCGTCTCCCGTCTCCCGTCTCCCGTCTCCCGTCTCCCGTCTCCCGTCTCCCGTCTCCCTACTCCCGTCTCCCGTCTCCCGTCTCCCGTCTCCCGTCTCCCGTCTCCCGTCTCCCGTCTCCCTGCTCCCTGCTCCCTGCTCCCGTCTCCCGTCTCCCTACTCCCTACTCCCTACTCCCGTCTCCCTACTCCCGTCTCCCGTCTCCCGTCTCCCGTCTCCCGTCTCCCGTCTCCCGTCTCCCTGTCTCCCATCTCCCGTCTCCCTACTCCCGTCTCCCGTCTCCCGTCTCCCGTCTCCCGTCTCCCTACTCCCTACTCCCTACTCCCTACTCCCGTCTCCCTACTCCCGTCTCCCGTCTCCCGTCTCCCGTCTCCCGTCTCCCGTCTCCCGTCTCTGTTCTCTCAGTCTCCCATCTCCTGTCTCCTGTTCTCCCGTCTCTGTTCTCTCAGTCTCCCATCTCCTGTCTCCTGTTCTCCCATTTCCCCATTTTCCTGTCATCACATTCTCTGGTTTTTGAGTCTACATTGTCTTTGTCTCCTTTTTTTATTTGAATCTTATCTCCTGTCACCACATTTGTTATCTCCCTGTCTGTAATTGTATCATATGTTGTTCCATTTATGTACATATACAGTCACTACTAATAATTGCAGTAGGCAAAACACTCAAATCCTGTTGTCCCCCTGCTCAAACACATTATTTAATGCCATGTACACATACAGTTACCAATGTTGTTGCGCAACATTCCCAATGGGTGAGGTTGTTGGAGTCGCCGCTCGAAATATACATGAAAACCACGCGAGTTTCCAAATCGAGGTTAAGCGAGGTAAGCGAAAACCACATGGCCTTTGGCGAAATACGCGAAACATGCGAAATACGCGAAAGCCACGCGAGCGCGCGAACATTTCCGAAAACCGTTGTACTTTACTTCTTAGACTAGTCCACACCCATTCTGCCTTCGGCACAGGTCGCAAAAAAAGAGCGCTTCGCGCTCTTTTTAAGCTCCCTGGCCTCAGCTTCATCCCAATAATTCAGAAGGCTCCTGATGAGCATTGTTCCTTCGTCACAGGAAGCCAAGGAGGGTTGCACCCTCTTTTGACTTCAGGCTGCATTCTAATAAATTGTACATTTTGGACACTTTTGAAATACATTTATGAGTAGCTTTTTTGAAAAAACTCAAAGTACAATCTATCACACCACATAAAAGTACATTTACAATATGTAAGGATGAAACATTTGATCCTGTGGAACCAATTTGCATGACTTTCCTGCCTGTGCTGGGCCTTCATACAGATTTGTTCACACACAGTCAGCTTTACACTGCACTATTGAGTGTGCAATGTCAAAGAGACATTCAGGCACTATTTCCTACAGAGGCCGAGGAGAAGACTATGGCAAACATAGTATACAGACACACAATGTTTGAAGGTGATTGGTACTCTTGTAGTACATAAGATCAGTCTCTTCCCTATGTTCTTTGAGCAGGATTTTGACAAATGTAAAAATACAAAATATGTAACAGTATCATTGAATGTATTTATTTTCCCATTTTCCCCTGCCTCCCATCTAGGGATCAGCAGGGGTATGGGAAACTTGAGGGTAGGGGTAGGGGTTTGGATCTGAAGACCCCTGTACCCCTGGAAATATATCCCCAAATTGATTACCATAGGAGTGATGGATAAGTATAAAATTTTGAAGTTGTACATTTGCCTTCAAATGGTAATATATGTGATTGGAAAAAGTGTTACCATGGGGTATACCCATGCTAATCCCTACTCCCTGCTCCCTGCTCCCTGCTCCCTGCTCCCTACTCCCTACTCCCTACTCCCGTCTCCCTACTCCCGTCTCCCATCTCCCGTCTCCCGTCTCCCGTCTCCCGTCTCCCGTCTCCCGTCTCCCGTCTCCCGTCTCCCGTCTCCCGTCTCCCGTCTCCCGTCTCCCGTCTCCCGTCTCCCGTCTCCCGTCTCCCGTCTCCCGTCTCCCGTCTCCCGTCTCCCGTCTCCCTGCTTCCTACTCCTGTCTCCCATCTCCCGTCTCCCGTCTCCCGTCTCCCGTCTCCCGTCTCCCGTCTCCCGTCTCCCGTCTCCCGTCTCCCGTCTCCCGTCTCCCGTCTCCCGTCTCCCGTCTCCCGTCTCCCGTCTCCCGTCTCCCGTCTCCCGTCTCCCTGCTTCCTACTCCTGTCTCCCATCTCCCGTCTCCCGTCTCCCGTCTCCCGTCTCCCGTCTCCCGTCTCCCGTCTCCCGTCTCCCGTCTCCCTACTCCCTGCTTCCTACTCCTGTCTCCTGTCTCCCGTCTCCTGTCTCTCATCTCCCGTCTCCCGTCTCCCGTCTCCCGTCTCCCGTCTCCCGTCTCCCGTCTCCCTACTCCCTACTCCCTACTCCCTACTCCCTACTCCCTACTCCCTACTCCCTACTCCCGTCTCCCGTCTCCCGTCTCCCGTCTCCCGTCTCCCGTCTCCCGTCTCCCATCTCCCGTCTCCCGTCTCCCGTCTCCTGTCTCCCGTCTCCCATCTCCCATCTCCCATCTTCCCGATCTCTCTGTTTCCCATCTCCCGACCTCCTGATCTGTCTGTTTCCCATCTCCCGACCTCCTGATCTCTCTGTTTCCCATCTCCCATCCTCCCGATCTCCCTGTTTCCCTGTTTCCCATTTTCCCATCCTCCCCATCTTCTGTTCTCCTATCTCCTCCCATTCTCCCTGTTTCCCATTCCCAATTTTCCTGTCTCCTCACTATCTCCTGTTCTCCAGTTGTCAAGTCTCTCTACTTTCTCTATTTTTTATTTATTTTTTCACAACCTTTTCTCATTCATTTCCTGTCACCACATATATTTGTTGTCCCCCTGTCTGCAAAATTATATCATGTTGTTCCATTTTCAATTTTATTATTTACTGTATGCATGTAACATAAACAATTACATTACAATAAGGAAAATACTTGTATTGCGTAGTGCGCTGCTCTAATGGGCAAGTGAGTCGGCGCTCGAAAGCCACGCGAGAAAACCACGCGAGTTTCCAAATAGAAGTTCAAGCGAGGTAAGCGAAAACCATGTGGCCTTAGGCGAATCTAAGCGAATCTAAGCGTATCTAAGCGTATCTAAGCGTATCTAAGCGTATCTAAACGAAAACCACATGGCGCTACGCGAAAACCACGCGAGCGCGCGAACGTTTCCGAAACCTTTCTCCCTTTCTTCTTAAGATTTTCGAACATCACACGACTTTCGGGTTACCATGTAGATATTTTATACAAAAATGATTCAATTTATTATTGTCTCCTCTGGGCCGTCATAATGCGAGCTTCCAAAAGAGGAATTCAATCAAAGTTGGTTCGCATTACTTAGTCTAATAATCTTGCTAGGTCTTGTTCTTGGGGCAACGGTCTGTACTGTTGCCTACTGACTGTTCTCACCGTTCCCATCGTCTTTTCTGGCCTCTGGAATCAGCAGCACTCCAGGGAACAATTGTTCGTACTGTTGTTCTACTACTAGTAGTGTTTCCGAAGCATTTGGAGTCTGCCAGTGAAACCAGCGTAAGTTGTAATTCACGATCACTGACTTCTATTTCATGGCCCTCGACAACCTCCAGCGTTTCTCGCACTGATCAACAGTTTGTACTGTTGGCCTAATTTGCTTCCCTTGAAGCTGCGAAGACTATCTGGCATATCTTGCTTATCGCCCCGCCGCAAGCCGACGGCCTTATCTGACATGTCTTCCAAACAACTTCACGTTCTCGTACACGATTCCGGGAAAGTTTTCACCTCACTCACAGCATGCTCTCTTCCCGCAACAATTCCTGATCAGTCCCGCCCCGATGAGGAAGGCGACATGAAGATGTTAACTACCCAATGGGCGTATGAGGCGCGCCCGTGGTATCCTCTTGTCCCATCCCAACCTGTCTTCGACGGACCCATATTCAGCTGCCTTAATCACTCCTTCTACTCGTTGCATACAGAACTTTTATCGAACAAACGCTATAGAATTCGTCCGGAAATCGGTCTGGCGTGGGAAAACTTGGAGAAGCAGTTGCTTTGGTGTCAGAAGCGTTTAGGCCATGGCATAGACGTTCCTTGGGCAAAGATGGCACGGCCACCCAGCGAATTCGGGTACTCACGGTCGCAAGTTGACGCGAAGACGGCCAAGAAGGTGGCCCTCAGATCACGCGACGCGTTTTTAGGTATGGACTCGGTCGTCTGTACTTGTTATATATCGACTCATCGTACTGTCAGGCATAGCGGCTGTCTGCACATACTACATCATGCGTCATAAACGTCAGAACTCAGACTGGGCCGCTATTTTAACCACAGATCCACATTATCCCATACCGTCCGAATGGGTGGCAGAACTCACCCACACATTCGCCGGAGATCTCACAGACGCTGTACCACGTACTGGTGTAATTATCGACAGCGCTCATGCTCCCAGGAATTGGGAGCATGATGTGCACATGTTTGAAGACTACGGTGTTCCAATTTGGGTCAACTGGCCCCTTGACTTGAAATCTCCCTTTGACAAGCGACTGGATCGATATCGTCCCTCCCAGGAAGAAGTCGCCCGCGTTCAATCCACCGACAATTCATGGGGCGCTCAGTCCGCCAATGGGTGGGGTGCTGAATCTACAAGTGGATGGGGTACTGAGTCTACAAACGGATGGGGCGCTCAACCTGGCCACGATTCATGGGGCGTTAAGCCCACCAATGACTCAGGCGCTCAGTCCGCCAATGATTCATGGGGCCCCATATCCAACGATACATGGAGCTCAACCGAGCATCAGATTCCCCACCAGCCGGAGGTATCTGCCGATCAGACATCCAAACTCGATCTCTCCAGCTTTCCCCTTCCCAACAAAGGCAGTGGTCAGAAGCATGGTGAAGATTGGAAGGCCTTTTTTGCCCGCAGGTTAGCGCAAAACAAGAAGAAGGAGGAGCGGGAGACTCCCTCTGCACGGCAGGTACGTCAGAGCCGTGAACGTTCGGCGGCGAGTCACAGCCTGCCCGGGAAGTCCAGCAAAGTTTGGGTATTTGAATGGCAACCCCAGGACGATTACAACGGCTTTCTGCTCCGCACGCATATCACAAAGGCTCAAATAGAGGACGTCTGGGGAGACTACAACAACACCACCAGGGTATTTGATCCCTTTTCAAACCAGTGGGACTTGTGTCTAGCCATCGATCCGAACAGCATTCCCGATGGTGACGATCGAGAGGACGACGACGACATCATGCCTCCGATGCTTCTCACCGTTGCTCCCCCGCCACCACCACCGTCATACTCGAGCTTCCTGAATGACATTCGCAGTTACTTCGGCAGTCATGAAGTCGCCTCCTCCGCACACTATGATCGCATTGAGACCTTTGTCTCCGTCCTGCGTTACCATTTAGGGTATCGACTCGACGCATCTACAACTACTCCTCGGCATGGTTCCACCATGTTTGAAGAATGGACTCGCAAGACGCAATGGGTCCACGCATGCAAGCTCGTCGGTGATCTAGGCCAAGATTTGACGGTCTCAGAGGAGCGGCAAGGCGTCATCATGTTCTTCCTAGGATACCTAGTGACCTTACCAGAATTCAAGTTGTCTGATATACAGCCCGACCTTTGGGATTTGGGACCATATCCTTCCTTGTCGGTCTCAAATTCTAACATACGAGTCTCCTGCGCTCTGCTTTCCCAGCAGCAGTTTTACATCATTGAGCCGCTTCGGACTCAAAGTCTCACCGTCTGGAAGCTTGCGGTCCCTGAGGCCACCACAGCTGTGATGTGCCTCCGGCGCGATTGGGGTTCAGACGTCAGGCACATTGCGCTTTGCCTCATCGAAAGAGGGATGGCGTTTAAGACCCTCCAGAAGATGACCGTCGCACCTCACTTCAGGCGCCCTTTCTCCGAACTTCGCGCGTACTCGCCTGGACGCAAGCCACCCCACTTTAAAGCTGTCTTTGCAGATTACGTGGTATACGAGCAGCGCCGCCACGAGTTTATGAATCAACCACGCGCGAGGGCTGCGTTGCTACATGGCGGACTTGTTTGGCGGCTGGCTTTGCACAGTCTCGGCGTTGATCACCTACCTTCGGTACTCGACGGCATTTCACGGGAAGCAGTCCCATTCGGTCTCATGCTGTGTAGCGACGATCAAAGTTACTTTGACGATGCGTTGCTGGAGGAAGAAGTCGAATTTATTTGTGGAACGTATTACGTGGATAAAAGTATGTTCTAGCCTACGCGACCTCAGCAGCGCTCATGTTTGATTATTCAGACGATGGAAGTATAGAGAAAGTCTCTTGGTGGCCCAGACCACAGGCCTGGGCTGCGTCCGGCTTGAACGTCGGTTTTTGGTCTGCTCGATGCGAAAAGTGGTTTGAAACGCGCCTCGAACATATTCGCGAAGGCGTTTCACGCTTCCGCGATTCAGCTCCCAACGACGCTAATGGGCCGTTGTCCGCCACTCAATGGAAGCGGTCGCTCAAATTCAATAACTCTACCCCGAAGATGATGAAAAACATGGATGTGGCATGTTATGAATTTCTGTTAAACAAAGCGCCTGGTAAGAGCACCTTGTTAACCAGCCTCCGTCATGCTCCTGCTGACGTCTTGCATAGTTTGGACGGACTCGGATGTGTAGTTGTACCTATTCTGTCATGTTTTTTTTTGGCTATGTGCTCTACAACTGTAGTCCCCGGTAAACTTAGACATATTCCCAAAGTGTCATCAAAGCGCGCGACTCAACGATTTGTACCTGAGTGGCAAACAAATAATAAAGACAATTTGTCATTGAGTCCTGCATACCCCCCACCGTCCTATAACTTAGCTGTATGTACAGCTGAGCTGCCCTTAACTCGGATATTACCTCTTCAACGCTCCCTAGGCATCCTCTTTGACATCGTGATTCAACACTGGCCAGATTATCGACACCAGGGTTCCGATAATCGTGGAAGCTGTTTGAGATACAGTTTTCACCCTATGCTACCGCGATTTCAAAATTGCGCACAGTCACGTCCCTGTTCAGTTACCAGTCACCCTCAAATAGACCCTCGCGCACGCTCTTAACCTCCCCCGCATTGGACTTGGTGGTAGAGGTGTTCTGGAATCCTTGCAGTGGGTGAAGGCCGACCAACCTGAGGGCAAGGAGGACTCGAGCATTGTTCTCCGACTTGTGAGGAGATTGTATTTGTGGAGTAACGGCAGACAGCCAGCGACCTGTCTGGCAAAGATCCTTTCATGCATACCAGAGCTTCGCTGTGGTCGGGCACGGTGGTAGGCATCTTCATTTTGTTGTCATGCGCCGGTTGATCTTCTCTCAGGTCACTGTTTGTAGTCCGTGATCCCGAACAAAGCGTGAAAACTGGATAGCATCAGCAGAGAACAGCGATGACGTCGTGGAAGCTGAAAACAACATATCTCCGATTGGACCTTCTCCTTGAATACAATCATCAGATTTGGAACAAGTCACGCAACTGTTCATTGATGAGCCGTGCTCTGAACCGTTATTGTCAGACGAGAATATGCTAGCCAGTCACGACAAAAACAACATCACTGGCTGCGTGATCGACCACAAGAAACGAAAGATCAGTGGAGAAATTGACAGCGTCATCCTAGATGGAAATAAGAGCACGCATTGGGATATCAAGCGTTGCGACGTCAAGACGCCGAATGGGAATTTTGTTTGACGAATACTCGGGTATTGAGAAGGAAGGTCAGACAAAGAGACAAGTAACAGGCGATATTAGATTGCTCCAAGAATTGGCAGACAAGCTCATGGAGTTAGCTCGAGCAGGCGGGGAGATCGACGAAGATGAACATCCAGGATATTCTGAAAACGAGGGAGCCGAGTTGAATTATTCGTTCGCCCCAGAACAGCAAGGATATATGTAGATGTAGATGTAGGAAGCACGCGTGTTTAACATATCGATATAACATATGCAAGACGATTTGAAGAGCTGCACGAACGGTATATACCGTCTCGCCCGGAAGCTCGAAGAATCGTTGAGGTCGAGGATGGTGAGCTCGACAGTACAAACCGTTGTGCTCAGAAAATATCGTGAATTGGCGGTCGAGACTGGAGCAGGTCGTAGTCTGTAGAGTGACGAAGTCCGATGAATGGCTCGAGGTAGTCAGGCTCCTCAGAAGTACTTCATTAACCCTGACTAGACGTACACGACCGTACATACAGTCATGCCGTGTGGAAAAGGGCGAAGACCATCGGAGATGTCAAACCAGGGAGTAACAAGAGACTCGGTTACGTTCAGGGCGATGAAATCGGGAGAGAAAAGCGAAGACACGACCGTACAAACAGTCATGCCGTAGGGAAGGAAGCGAGCATGACGAGGAAGAAGGCGGAAGGACCCTAGGATATAACGACCAGCTCGCCAATACAAACCATCGTGTGTAGAACCGGACTTCAAAATATGTTGCGGCAAATCGGCAAATCGAACCATAACACATCGTCCACCATAGACGTCTTCGCAATAGTGTCATTTGGTGCAGATGTTCGAGGCCGAGCCTTCTTCGGAAAACTGGTTATCTCCACCTGTGCGTGGGCCCTGCGCCGACAGCGTTTACGTTTTGATCGTACAGTCACGTCTTTGGATAATTCCAACTCATCTCTTTTGCGCAGACCTATTAGCATATGTCAAATGATTATTTGAGAATCGTCTTTCCTGCACTTCGTTAAATAACTTAGATCAATTCATAATACAACTTCCTTCCCCTGGTGCGACGGTTTGTACCATCGCGTCCATCTCGCTTGGCTACGGCACGATGATTTGTATCGTCGTATTTTTCCTTCGGACACTTCGTTCGACACATGATAGGCTTTCGTGGCCCAGAGCCCGACGGCTTGTACTGTTGAGCTCGCAGTCCTTGATGACCTTTCTTCTCCATCATCGTCTTCCTCGCTTCCAACCCCGCGGCATGACTGTATGTACAACGATGTCCGCGCCCCCCAAGTAAAGTGCGTTGGAGGCTACTCGATCAGTACCGCCACAGATCCTATCCACGCTATACGCAGTTTCATTGTAGATGACGTACAAGTGCTTGTAAAGCTGAAGAGTGACCCTTCATGAGGGGCAAAGATATGTAGGACTTCCCATACGCCAAGTGCGACCGGAAACAGAGCGTTATGATTTTCTAACTGTAAATTGGAACGAATGAATACATTGTGATCGGCCGAGACGAAACCATGACGCGCGCGGGACGGGCGATGATGAAAACGACAGTACATGCCGCCGAGCACATCGAATATGGCAGACCGAACCTGTCATTCAAGAATCGACGGTGCATATGCCATGATATCGTACTCACAGTCGTAGATCATTGATTATGAGGATGAATTGTAGGAAGTTGAAAAATTTAAAGATGGCATTGATCGCACGAACACGTCGTTTGTACTTTCCCTAAATGTCACCCGCGAGCCGAATGCTGCACACCCTCTACCACTGGCTGCAGTGATTGCCCAGATCCAAACGATTTCAGATCATGCTCGTGTGATCACTAATCACAGTGGTGGCTACTAGTATACCGACTTGCATTCCCGCATTTGTCCGGCTCGACGGTCTGTACTATCGAGTTGAACTGCGCACCTTCTAACACTGGCTGCAGTGATTGCCCAACCATTCTGTACGCTTAACAATGTGGACCCCCAGTTCGTGCATTAATCGTCCATTGATTTCCACAGGCAATTGGACGAATCTGATCGCGTTTCTCCGGATGCGGCATATCAAACGCGCTGTGATTGACTTGCCTCTATTTGTATAATTAGTGGAGATTAAACAATGAATTGACACCTGCCCACAACTTCGTGATATGTGGTTGAGTGAGGCCAATCACTTAAATAGCCCTTCGACTCTGTCTCGTCTGCCTCTCAACGTTGAACAACACACTCGTCATTTTTACTGTCCATCAAGAACATATCCTCTTTCCTGTCGATATTGTTTGATAATATACTCTAATGGTAGATCACCTCTTCCATCATTTACTTACTTACTAATGATCAACCAGACCGCGATCCCGAAGCATTCCATCACATCCCGACTGTTTGAAATTGCCCGTCCAAAAAGGCAGTCGCATGTCCAGTACTATGGATATGCGGTTTCTCAGGAATGGCTGATCTGGTTTTCGAAGAAGTTCAGACCGGAAGATCGCAACGACATGGGTGTCACGTCAAAACAATACTTCGAAGGCCTTGCGAAGCTGGCGAACATCGACGATTTTAGTTGGAAACATTGTTTCGATCCAAACGGTGGCTCGGTCAACGATGAAGAACCCAAGAACATTCCGATCGACACCGTCGAGGTGCTCTATGTGTGCTCAGATGAAGAAGGTTCTATTCAGAAGTGTCCTGATGAGGAAAAGCTCGAGGTCATGACGGCGTTGCTTGGGCATGGACCAAAGTGGTGGGCGGGTTGTTCTCGTTGATATTGAACGATGGGTTGGAACGAGCTGCGCAGCATTTTCAAAGCGTCATTAGTACATAAACCTTCTCCTGTACGATTATATACATATACCATATATCTTCTGTCCAAAATACAACTTTGTTTAGCGAAGAACTAGCGGTCGCCAGCGCTAGGCCAGAAGCCCGCGGGTTCAAAGTTCACTGACTCCCACACAAAACGAATGGTATGCGTAAATGCATCTCTCCATTGGAAGTCAGCCCTCTCTCTCAAAAAAAAAAACCTGTCAATAGGCGTGCTTGAAGCACGTACTGTGTATGTGACCAGCACAAGCGGAATATAGTGGGGTGCAGTGAGGTTTAAGACCCACTACTTGAGGTAGCAGGAATTATCACACCGAACAATGTGGTCGGAGGACCATGGGACAAACATCGTCCTATTTCGAACGACGCGCGGAAGCGACAGAACTGAGTTGTATATGAACTGACGTGTTATATTTGAGGTGGAATTCCGTACATTGCCACCAGATGTTTAATTTAAGTACGGAAGCAAAGATGTTTGGAATAGGCTAGTTGTCCGACTGCCTGTCAGTCTCGTTATCATCCAAACCGCGCTTCCATGACAGTTTCAGAGCTCCCGGTGGGTCGCGAGGGCTGCTTAGAGTAGTGAGAGGCCAGTTCGAGACAATGGAGTTGTGTCAACAAACAAGGATGGGGTTGGATCTATCGAAGACGCGCGTAGTGTGTAGAGTGGCGAAGTCTGATGGTCGAGAACGGATCGAGGCAGTCCACTGAGAAGTACTTCATTAGCCCTAGCCAGACATACACGACCGTACATACAGTCATGGCGTGCGGATAAGGGCGAAGACCATCGGGGATGTCGATCAGGGAGTAACGAAGGACTCGGAACGTTCAAGGTGACGAAATTGGGAGAGAAAGGTGGGGACACGAGGGATGTTGTAAGTTAGGCATATAAGTAGTTTCCTTGAGAAGTACTTCATTGAGTACTTGCACACTACTGTAGATGCAATCATACCGTGTGGATGAGGGGGAAGGCCAAAGACGTCAAGCCAGGGAGTAGCGAAGGACTCGGTACGTTCAAGGCGGTGACACGACCGTACAAACAGTCATCCCGTAGGGAAGGAAGCGAACATGACGAGGAAGAAAGCGGAAGGACGCCTATGACGATGAGCTCGGCAGTATAAACCGTCGAGTCCGTGTGCAAGGAAACTGAAGGTAAAGATGAAGGAAACTTGTATAGTAACTTGGATTGGCTAAATGACTCAGGCTTATGTAATAATACCGCGATCGGGAAGATCGTTTATCGTTTATCGATGCGAAGTGGTAGCTTGCGAGCACAAGATAAGTCAGTCTACGTTACGAATTTGTTTCAATGCAGCTCTTTGAAATCAGCAACGTACCACGCACGCAGACTCGGATCACATTTTCGCAGGACAAGATAGACGACAGCATATACTACTACATATCGATGTACAAAAAAAAAACTTCTATAGTAGACGCAAACTTATATTCTATAATACACTGCGGGATGTACTAATACATGTTTCAACAAATCATCACCCGCCCGTTCCCGATCACCAGGCAGCCCAATCATAGTAGTGACTCGCTGATATAGTTGGGTAAGATATGGAAGGACTTAACTCTTCAACGTCTCCCGTCAACACAAGGCCTACGTCCTTAAGTTGCTTCAGCTTCAGGAACTCCGGTTGTGTGACCGGGGAGACCAGGATGGACGTGATGGAATGGCGGGGTATAGTTGCGTCCGCATCCAGCAACAGAGCTGCCAGCGCGTTTGGCGTGCGAAGTAGCGATAGATCACGCAGCTCGGAGAAAGCAGACATGAAGATGCTGAATGCAGTGACGCTTGCATGAACCCTATTGAGCGACAATCGCTGAAGCTTTGGAAACAGCATGCTAGTTCTGCTGACGGCTGCCGGGTGCTCGCTGAAGCCAGTTGCACAGTAGCTGAGGAGATTTTCAACGTTTGTGCCGGTTTCGCTGATAGTTCGTGGAACGACGGGATTTACGTCCTCGATGGAAAGTGCGACAAGGTTTGGGGCGTCAAGGCGACTGAGTAGCGCGATCAATGAATCCGTCTCGACGTACCCCACGTACCCCAAGTGAAGCTCCTCAAGCATCGGAAGTGACACGACACCGCGACGGTGATATGGCTGCGAAAGAACCGGCCCAGATTCCCGAATGACAAGTCTTCGCAGCAGAGGACACGCGTTGATTATCGCTGAAAACTGATCAAACGTTGGCCTGAGAGTTCTGTCGTGGTACGAAAGCTCCAATGACTGAATGCAGTGACCCACACCAAGGGTACGAAGGAAACCTGCCCAGTTCAACGGAACACCAAAGATATCCACGTGTCGCAGTTTCGGGAGGGAGTGACATGGCGCAATGGTGTCTTGATCAGACGCGCCAGTCAAGACGGCGAACGGGACACTATCGAGCTCCATAGGAGGGAGGAATTGTTCTGCATGGGCGTGGTAAAAGTCGTTGGATCGCTTGAGCTTGATGAACTCAAGGCGCGAAGCTGCTGAACCACTTCGAGTCGGGTTGTGCGAGCTGAGAAGTCGAAGTGCAGCACAAAGCGGCTTTAAAGTATCGCTGATGACCTCCAGCGAACGCCATCGGTCCATCTGCAGGAACAAAAAGGCGAAGAGGTGGGGCAAACAGTCTGCATAGAGTTGGCTGGTTTCAGTGGAGGACGGAGACATGCACCTGAAGGTAGAGACGTTTAGACTTCCTTGAGCTGTAAATAAGGCGAACGTCTTACCCTATCAATTCACGCGATTTTGGATCGCGAGCGTCGATGAGGATGTCCAGCGAGGAATGTTTCGACCGCGTGATAAAACTCGACAACTGATCAAAGGGTTGTTGATGGAAGGTGAATACGTGATTGGGATGTGATCGGACGAGCGCCTTGAGATCGATACTGAGTGTTGACCATAAGGTCGGGACAGATATTGCGAGCTTTCTCCAGCGGGAGTTCACGGACGCCAGTACAGTCGGTAGAGTTACACTTTCAGGACTGAACGCGCGTCCTTCTTCAGAGTCACAGTCGTGTGTGGCTAATGTGAATATGTATGACAGTAACTCCACTGGAAGGGACTCGATATGACACCGTGGGACGACCTGGGAACTCATGGAATGATGGTAGTCGCCTGTGAAGCACCGATAATCAGTACAAACAGGTGAATAGTGAAGGTAAGAGCACGAACAAGAGTAAGCTCGGATGAACCGATGAGTTAGATTTGGCAGCAGCTATGGATTGACGCGTATAATGATACGGTAGACGACGTAGAAAGCGAGGAAAGTGCGCGACAGTACAAACTGTTTTAATGCGACAAGTTGGTGGAAAACGAGTGCAGATTGATCCTTGGAATTATAAGGGATCGATGACAATGAAGTTTGGTGTGTGAAGTGAAACCGGAACGCGACAATAGAGGGTGGTGACACGCGGGATTTAAACTGAATATGTGGATCAGGACCACTGAAGTTTAATCGAAAAAGCCGAGGACAAGATGGAGCTAGTGACGATAACAGTACAAATATTTCACTCAAGTAGGGAGGTGAATGGGTCGGGCGACGCTAACGACATTATGCACCGCGGAGGAATCAACAAACGGCCGAGATGAGTTTTTCAATTTTAAATAAAGTTAAATTGGTATAGTACAGCGTTCTGTCATGTAACGGCAAAGACGGGGAGAAAGGAACGCGACGATGACCGATTGAAGTCGGGAGGGGTAAGCGGGCGACGAAAAACGACACATGACCGTACACGCAGTCGTGCGGCGTAAAGCGTAAATAAATAGTATGATAGGACGTCCATCGTGGACGTTGAACCATGGAGTAAGAAGACTAGGATCATCGAAGTGAAAGAGCATCGAGCATTACGACTCCGAGCTCGACGGTAAAAACCGTCGAGCTCCAGGCGACGAAAGCTTCGTCATGTTTTAATCGTCATCCTTATGAAGGAAAGACACGACGATACAAACCGTCGTGCCATAGCCAAGGGAGATGGACGCGATGGTACATACCGTCGCGCCAGGGGAACAAGTCGAAGTTCAAGGAAGTAGTAGCACAGTAGATTAGTCTGACCAAGTGCATGTGTCACGTGTCACGTGTGAAATTATTACATACGATGAAATCATTAGGTAAGTTATTTGGCATTGTTGGGCTCTTTGCATCTCCAAAGTTCCAAGTCCATTAATCCTCACTAGCATACGTTTAATTTACCTTCACTTTTCCTTGCACACGGACTCGACGGTTTGTATTGCCGAGTTCGTCGTTGTAGGGGTCCCTCGTTATGCTCGCTTCCTTCCCCACGGCACGACTGTTTGTATGGTCGTGTCCAGGGTGACAGGATCGTCGTGAGTATGCGCGAGAGAGGGACTCAAGTCTTGACTTTCAAATAGCGCTCGCACGTCCAGCTCAATTCGTATGCCTTCGTTCGTCAGTATATGGTGCTAGGGGAAACGTATAGCATGTACAAACTAAGGGAAGCACGATCTCGTGTGATCTCAAAGAGCATGCCATTGGAATATTCCCCGATCCTTTCGACGAATATTTTAGCGCAGGCATGTTTCTACTGATATGAGTCGTTTATCGATTTATGGCTCATCAACCTTGACGACGCTCCAACCGCGGACATCAGCCCGTGTCGGGGCTGTTACTTCCCCGGACTCATCCGTCAACTGTAAGTCACTCTCTCTGGCCATAATACGCAGCTAATTGTACATTTTTAGATGCCAGCCTTCTTCCCATCTTTCAATTTAGCGCAACAGCAAGTCCCAGGTGAGGTTGCCGTTGCTTCACAAGTTTTGTCTTTCACCCGTCGAAGTTTACCTTTCGTCTAAGTGGGCAATATCTGCTTGCTTTGTGTTTATCTTGGCACCGCATCTATCCCAGCACCACAAAGTGCTTCGGGCTCCTTCATCGTTCATATCGTCCAAACAGTATACGTCCTTTTTCTTCGCCTGGCAAGTCTAATATCTTCTCTCACGTGTCGTTCGTCTAAGTGAGCAATACCTGCTTGCTTTGCTTCTAGTTTGACGCCGCGTCTATCCTAGCACCACCAAGTATCTCGAGCTCCTTCATCGATCGTCGTTCTTATCTCATCCAAACGAAAGAAGACTTTTTCTGCCCGGTGAGTCCGATCTATCTTCCGTACCTTCTCCTCACTTTGATTAGATGTCACAGACGCTTTTCTCATACAGTATCGGCACTCGAAGAAGAGAAGGAGATCGAGTTGTGGTAAGCTTTTTTCGCCTCGTCGGTGGATACTGCTCTTAACAAGTCAAAGCGCCAGCGCGATTTCTTTCAGAACCCGGCGGGGACTCAAACGTCATCCTCTGGCCCGACGACCACTCTGCATAATGCAGCATCAACCGCAAGACGCCATCTCACACGTTTGTCTGTCGGCGCTCGAGCGGCTTTGCACAGACTCCATAGTGGATGCGTGCGCGTCACAAACCACGTAGTTTCAGTAGGGTGCAGGGTGGGTCTGCGTTCATCTTGCGCGTAAGGACTTCATACATTGCACGTAGGTGTAAGCGTCGATCTTAGCAACGACTTCGGAGAAGGTGAGCGGGGGTACGTGACGTGCTTCAGAACCATATTTTCCGCACCTAACATCTCCGCTACCTCACTCACTTCAAGGGTCAAGTGGAGTGCGCACACATAGCGTCGATACGAATTGATTCCGCGAGATCTCACCACATTTTTTATATACCTGATATCCCCACTACATCCCTACTGTATCATCCCTGAACATATGTTAAAATACCACCCCTCCAGTTAGTGTAGGTCGCTTACCGTTCCGCCAGTAGGGTACGTATTATCTGATGTAATGCGCGAAGCGAACTCCCAGTCTATCAACGACCCCCGACTGCCGCCTTCACAGTCCTCTATCATGATGTTATTCAGACTGCAGTCTCTGTGCAGAATTTGGTGTGTTTCTACCGCGCACTGTTGAACTGTAATAGAGGGATTAGCTGATAAAGAGCACGCGTGATCAACACAGTTAGCTCACTAAGCACAATATCGCGTAAAACTCTGAGAAGTTCCTTCTTGCTTCGAAACATGTATAAAGGACGAGCCCGAGGTTTCAAGACGAGACGGATGTGTGTACGGTACGCGCCAACTGTGCTGTTTTCAATTTTGTTGCGATATCTCTGTGTCTCGTCGGGGTGACCTTCCTCTGCCTGAACGAGCCAGTATCCGACAAGTCTCGGAACACCGGCGACACCCTTCACTTCTTCTAGCATCTTCACCTCGTTTAAGATAGCATCACTGTTTCCTTTCACCCAATGGTCCTTAACGATGTACTCCTCGTGACTGCTATGTACGTCTTGGAATAATTGTACTAGTAATTGTACGAATGATGACTGTATAAATTGTGTGACTCGACGCTTCCCCTCCATGCACAACAATGGTGAGCCGATGACCATCTTGACGAAGTTGCGGGTGAATTGAGGAAAGACACGCCAATACAAATCGTCGTGCCGTAGCCTGAGCCAAGGGAGATGGACGCGATGGTACATACCGTCGGGCCAGGAAGTATAGTATATACATAAACTATCTGAGTGCGAGAAAGACGTGGGAAGATATTACGTACGTTATTTATTATTGCTGTGCACTTTCATCGCCAGTTTCCAAGTCTTAAGTCTTTGCGAGTCGCTGAGATGCGAGTAGATGCATAAGGTCACAATAATCATTGCTACTACTACTTCGATACATGAAAGACTAAGACCCGACTATAGAGACGATTCCGAGCTATTTGGGCGAAGGCGCGCAGCGCCTTCCGGTCCCGATCTGCTGACCCTGTGAAGGAAAGGTGAGCTGCGAGGGTGGGCGGGCAAAACCCTCGCAGGACGCCTATGACAGGTGGTTTGGTGCAGTCCGGACCACTGAAGAAGGTGTGTGCGAGAAGTGGCGTTGATCGCTTGCGAGAGGTGCCACGCGGTATAAGGGAGCGGAAGGGTGGGGAAAAGAAAAGGATGGGATACGAAGTCGTTGAGGACGACTAGGCTGAAAACACGAGGACGTCGCAGTACGAAAGAAAGAGTTCGTACTGCATCCGTCGCTTGCGCAAAGACTACATTCTATTCCTCCGCTCGTTCCTCGTTACGTAATAGAATAATCAATCTTTGCGAGTCGCTGAGATGCGAGTAGATGCATAAGGTCACAATAATCATTGCTACTACTACTTCGATACATGAAAGACTAAGACCCGACTATAGAGACGATTCCGAGCTATTTGGGCGAAGGCGCGCAGCGCCTTCCGGTCCCGATCTGCTGACCCTGTGAAGGAAAGGTGAGCTGCGACTCCCAAGTTGATAGGAGTCCGGCGACGCATCGAGCGAACCGCGGATTCCCATGATAGTAGGAGGTGGACGAGGACTCACGCGTTGTTCAACGTACGCGCGGCATTGAAAGGCGCAAGTATTCATTCTGGATGGCTGGGTTGTCTTGTAAGTAAGGCGCGAGAATCTGGGCGTGATTGCGAAGATAGAGCTGAAACGCATCACTAGCCCAACGCCCCATCGTTTTGACGACGT